GGCCTCACCAATGTGAAACATTCTTCTGTGAGTCAAGAGTTGGTTCTAGCAATACCTTAGATGGTAATTAATGGAGAGCTGTAAGTCAGAGCCTTTAACAATGAAGAATTTTAATACGGCAAAACAAGAAAGAACAAAAGAAGAAGAATGTCCTATGAGCTTTAGAAAGACGAAACCCCAAAAACTGTGATGTCCAGCCATGGCCAAGATGATGCTGGGCTCACTCTCTTTCTCTAGTCATCCTCAGGGCATCTTTTATTTAAAATCTTGCTCTGTTTCAGAAAGGCCAGTTTCATCTTGTAAGAACGATAATTAGCCTAAAGATCTGTAATTTTTTATACTGCAGTTCCTTGACTCCCTGTCTGACTGCTGTTTTCCTCCCTTCAAATCAAAGGAGAAGAAGAAAACATTGAAAGTGCAGAGAAAAATATTGAGACCTGTGTCTTGAAGGACACAAGCCTCTCTGTGGCTCTGGGGACTTCAGCACAAAAAGGCAGGTCAAAGGGTGTGAGCATCAGCATGTCTTGGAGGCCATGGGTACCCACTCTCCTTCTAGCTGTTACTTCCATCCTTTGAAATCCCCTTGTACTCATGCAAGGATGTTTTTCATTCCATTAGAATTAGCCATGTATCAAATATTTCAACTATAAACTTTTCGCCTTGTTATTTTGAATTCCTGGCCTCAGGCTGTGCCCTCAGCAGAAACACTAAAAATCTTTTGCCACAATATGGTTAGGAGTCTTTTTGAGTTCTGGTGTGGGTTTTTTTGTTTATTTGTTTGTGTTTTTTTGCTGCTGTTTGTTTATTTTTTGGCAGGGAGATTCCCTTTCTCTACAGTTTTTTGCTTCTTTCACATACAATTCTGTGTAGCAAAGTATAGTTTGCTTCTTCAAGCAACATCAAATAAAACTGCAAACTTTACCTTCCAGATATCATAGCTGACATAGGCAGCTGTTTATTGCTAACACCTAGCAATACATAAACAGCACTTGCTATATTTCCAGGAACTGAATGTCACAATCCATAGTGGTTTAAAAATCTTCTTTTATTGCACAGGCGTGTTGGCCACTGCAGTCTGAATCAGCAGGTTCCTTGGCTTGTCAAAATTAAACTCTTGAGCCAAAGCATTTTGTAATTATGCCCCTCAGCTACAGCTCTCTGGCATTCCCAATCTATGTTACTTAAAACAAAGCTGTTTCTTATATTCTTTAATTTCCTGTACCAATGCCAGCTTAAAATGGTGATTAGAGCCTGATGGATAGGTAGGTAGACTGATGCTTTTAACTTTTCTGAATCAATGACACTAATTTTATTGTGATTAATTGAATGGCATCCTGTGAGGCTCCTGTGAAGGATGTTGTATTTATGTAGTTTGCTGTCATCGCCCATTCCAGTGCATCAGAGGAGAGTGCAATTGTGTGAAATGCTTTTCTGTAGGGAACAGAAGCTAAAGGCTTTGCTCAAACATCTAAAGAGGATGACATAATATTATTTATTATTATTATATTACATTAATATTATTATTAAATGGAGGATTTTATGCTCCAGCCACATCCTGAGACTCCTTTAAAATGTCCTTAAAAAAGGAGGAACGCGTGTCAACTCCAGAATACTGTTTTTATGTGAGATTCTTCTACCTAAGTTTCTGTAAAGCTTTTTTCTTTTTTTTTTTCTAGTAGCATTTTCTTTTACTTAAGTTTTTCTAAAGTTTTCCAACAACCCATGAGTTACTGCTTTTATCACCTAAAGGGGAGGAAGAGCAAGAGTAAGAAGTAGAAAAATAAAGGATTTTGTCTCAAGTGTCTTGTCTTCATAAGAGGGTTGTGATCTAATCTTAATAACATTTTCTAGGTGAAGTTCATGCTTTTCGTGATGAAAACACCTCGTTTGAATGCTCTTACAGCTGAGAGTGATATTAGAGTACCATGTGCAGTCATTGCAGAGGCAGACAGTACTTTCCACACCAGCAATCTATTGCTGAGAGGAAAAGGTTTTAGAGACACATAAAGACAAAAATAAACATGAAAAAATACTAAATGAAACAGAAAATGTTAGTCTGAGACACCATTGTTCACTTTCATAGTAAGAGGAGTTGCATTTCTTAGAGCTTTCCAAGCAATTTTAGTGGTTGCTGTAATCTACCTCAAAATGGAGCCTCCATTTCAGTGTCTGCAATGTTGACAGTGATCGTAATAGTCTGTAGACTCTGATCTTGTGGTGCCAAGAAGTTCGTGTGAAAGCAAATCTAAGTGCAAACACTACCAATATTTTCCTTTTTTTTTTTTTTTTTTTTTTTGACCACAGTGCTCTCTTACTCAGATTGGTGATTAGGGAAATTTAACAGCATGAAGAAATTGAGAGGATAAAGTTTTGCTTTCATTCAAAAGAATGGCAAAACTTCCATTTTGCCTAACTTATATTAGGTGTAACTTAGTTTCCAACCTGCTTAAGTTCACTCTTAAAGTAATATCTCCAAAGTATATCATGGATATACTCAACTGTTAGTAATAACGTTAAAATCCAAGCAGTGAGACCAGCTCAGTGGAGTCATTTCGGATAGGTCTTTAGTGAAAGACTAAAGAAAATCTCTCCATCTCTGGACACAGTCCATCTCTCCATAATCCATCTTAGTCCAACTTTGGACTGAGTTTCCACCAAAAGACATTATATCAATGCAGTCATTTTCTCACGGGGAAAACAAAATCTTACAAGGATTTTCATGTTCTGCTTGGACAAGAAGTCTTAGCACAAGTGAGCAAAGCACTTTTTTTTTTTTTAAGGAATCCAGAGGATCAATTTCTTGGAGCATTTCAATAATGATAGCAGTGTGCTGACCACTGTCACGGACAGTGTAGGCTGTAGCAGCAAATCAGCGCCAGAAGTCTAATGACAGACCCTTACAGCAGATCCTGCCTTCAGGAGATAGTCGATTTAGTTTGTAGGCTATTGCAAACAAGGACACAGATATACCAAAGAAATTCAGAGTGTATTTGCATATTTTATAGAGAAAAGACCCACAGTTGTAATTTCTGCATTTTTCTCTCCTTTAAATCAGTAATGCTAGTTTAAATAATATGAAGCCAAAGTGGGAAGCTTCTGGGAGGAGGAACTTTTAGGCCAACAGTGGAAAAAAAAAATAAGTTTCTCTATTTTATTTCTTTGTGAGATGTATCTACTATTGTTTAAATTCTCAACTGATTTAAATTTACTTGACTCTACCTAAGCTGATAGAATGACTTCTTATATTCACACTTGTCTATTGCATTTCATTAAACATAAACAGTTCTTTTTCATTTTGTTGTTTTTTCTACTGTCAACAACAAATATGGATAGGGTAACATCTTGCAGTGCTTCTGCATTCTCCTTTCATTATTCAAAGCTGACATTTAAAAATTTGTGCTTGACTAATGATATTAGATTAAGCCTCTTAAAGTGTTGTTGAGTGTCTAATGTAGGTGGCTGACACTGCAGGAGATTTGTAACTTCAAAACCTATAGAAACATATTCTCATCTGAACATGTAGTCCAGGGTTGCTGGCCTATGCTGTAAAAATTTGATCTTTATCAATATATAATTGCTATGTCTTTTCAAAAATTCCTTTATTTTCATACTGAGATATCCTACTTCCTCAGGAATCTCCTTTTTTTTTTTTTTTTTTTTTTTTTTTTTTTTTTTTTTTTTTTTTTTTTTTTTTTTTTTTTTTTTTTTTTTTTTTTTTTTTTTTCATTATTTATGTTGCCAGTTTTCAGTTTGTTTTATGGCACTAGTCTGCTTTGCTAAAAAACAGCAGTGGCTGAAGCACTCTGAGGGTTATTAGTGATGGAAAAAATTAAAAGCTGTGCACATTGGATGCATGACTGGTAAAGTGTCATTTAAGCTCAAGTGACTGGCTATTTCTCAGTAGCCAGTCTGTCTGAAGACAGTTCAGAAAGCCTTGATTCCTCCTTCTGGCAGGAGGGGTTTCAAGTTCACCATCTGCCAGAGCAGAGACTTTTGCTCTCTTAACATCTTCCTGCTTCGAGGTTGGTTTCTGCCAAAGCCTCTGATCTCTTCTGGTAATCGGGAAGTGTCAGTGGTTTGTGCTATGCAGGAATGGTGCGGGGTAGATCTTTTGGCTAAACATTTATTTTATGTGACAGTCAGAGCAAGGCTGTCCCTTCCACCTTACGATTCAACTGAGTACTTACATAGCATCATAGCTGTCTGTTAAGCAGAATATTCTCTCTCCTTTTTTTTTTCTTTATTTTTTTTTAATGATACAGGGGTTAGAAAATTGAGGGTTAGCAAATAATGCCACAGTTTAATGAGAATCAGTGATAATCATGCCAACCTTCATGCCATCTATTAAGGGAATCTGCAAGACACACCTGAAGAAAATTTTCCTGGGAGAACAGAAAAGATGTTATGATCATAGACTATTTTAGTGTCTCAAACAAAGTTTTGGGTGTTTTAGATTAAAGATTTTGAAGATTTAATCCTTCCATAGGGTACATGTATGCTAAGCAGTCTGAGGGTGGAAGGTACTCAGGTTATGTACACTGATATAATCCAGCCAGCAACAGATCATGAAGCCTGAAATGCTGGTTCACCATCACAGTGGTACCCGGAACTGTGCTAAAAGTCCATGTTTATGATTCTAATTAGGAATGATTGCCAGGGTAACAAAGATATTTAAGCACTAAGACTAATATCCTACTGACTCCCCTGACTCCTGTCTATTTCAAAAACCTGGTATAAGAGGCACTCATTTACCATTGCAGCTCAAGCTCAATTCTCTGTTTGTCCTTTCAAAGAAAAAAATTATTTCACAGTAGTCTTTGGTACTATGAATTAGCTATACACCTGTGTTTGTCTCTTGTGTTTTCACTCAGTGGTCAAATTTACGTATAAGCCTATAACTGAAAGGATTCGGTATGATTCCTTGGAAATCAGTTCCTCTACACTGAAGCCATTTATAATATGCCTAAAAAATATAACATTTGTTGTCTCATATTTTTAAGCTCGTGTCCCGAGGGATATATATGCCTGAAGGCTGGGGAGAACCCTGACCATGGCTACACGAGCTTTGACACTTTTGGCTGGGCCTTTCTCTCTTTGTTCCGTCTTATGACTCAGGATTATTGGGAACGTCTCTATCAACAGGTATGAGTTTTTTTGTAAATTTTTAAAATATAAAGTAAACACACCTGTTGATTACAGGTTACAGTTAAATATCCAATGATTAAAAAGAAGAAGAAAAGATGATTAGATGAACTGATCACTGTGTTCTGGGCAAGAGTCGCCAATTGCTGCAATTAATTTCTTAGGAGTGATGGTACCGGAAGACATGAAATTGGGTGTATGGAGACAAAGGGGAAACTTGGTACTTAGAGAAAGAAATTTTTGAATGAGCAATTTACCTAAATTTGAATGAAGTTTACCACTTAATAAAGATCACCACATCAACACTTAATGGTTGGTTGGTGACAGGTATAACATGAACTAGTCTCCTGTGTCCAGCTCAAAAGAAAAGTCTAGAAAAGTTCCTGTGTACTTGCCATATCTCTTATTCCAAGATAGGACAATGAATATAAATTCACTGGACAATGAGACCACCTGGTATCCTTTCAGTTCTCCCTATGGATTTTTTTTTCACCAGGGAGCTCTAACAGCTAAGGGTGCTGTTGGAGTCCTATTTAACTTATCGTCCTGTTTGCAAGATTGTCTGGTTACAAATACCCATTTTAGCATATATTTCTTGAAATGTGTATGAGCTCAGAGAAACTGTATGTTAAGTACAGTAAGTAAGTAAGTACAGTAAGTAAGATGCCATTGGGCATCTCAAAAATGTCCAAACTGAAGGATACTCTTAAGGAAATCAATGGAACTAGCAGTGCAGCTCTGAAAGTCCTGATGTAGACATCTTTGAAGGTACAGAGAATTTCAACTTCATATGCTGTCGGTTCCTCAGTTTGGTTTCAGGAGAACAAAAAACAGAATGAAGTCAAAGATTCTTTAAACCACCATAATCATTTCCTTGGTAGAGAACTTATGTACAACTCAGGAAAGTTGAAACTTTCACTGCAGTTAACACCAAGACCTTTGATTATTTGACCCGATAATACCAGAGAGTGATTTCTATTCTACCACTAGCATCAAGTTCTTGACCATGGGAGAGATCCATAACAAGCTCAATCTGTTACCCTAAACTTCTAAACTTCATTATTGTCAATAAATCTGGTAGAGAATTAGGCAACACAGTCACTGGAGCCCAGTTCATTATTCTGAAGTAGATATCTAAAAAGTTCAGATGAATGATACTCTGAAAGTATCTATTTTTTCTCCACTGACTATAAAGAGACCTAGAATGTAAATACCTAAAGGCAAACCAGATGAATACTGGTTGGAAAGTCTTTATGCATGGGACAAAAATAGATTGGATATGTGAGAGAAGCTTTCACTGAAGTTGATTGTAAGATTACGTGCTCTCAAAAAAAAATCCAGCAAGTGTTTGACGAAGGAGGAAAACATGTTTGTATCTTTCTGCAAGGCACATGGAATTTTTTTCTGCAGCATAAAAAATTCTTTAAAAGATTATTTCCTTGGATGTAATTTTCATTGGTCCAGAAAAGCATGCTGCTTGGGCTATTAGCAACTACAGAACAAAATATTACTATAAATATAAGTTCCTAAAAAAATGAAACTTTTTTATTTGTTTGTTTAAAAGTATTATGAACAAATGTTAGCCATTTAATTTTTGTATTTACAGACTCTCAGATCTGCTGGGAAGATCTACATGCTCTTTTTTATGCTGGTCATCTTCCTGGGCTCATTTTATTTGATCAACCTGATTCTGGCTGTTGTAGCCATGGCTTATGAAGAGCAGAACCAAGCCACTATTGCTGAAACAGAGGAGAAGGAAAGGAAGTTTCGGGAAGCTATGGAGATGTTAAAGAAGGAGCAGGAGGTCTGTAAGCTATGACATGATTAGTGTTGGGTAATTTGTTCAATACCTTGACATTCACATTATTTTACCTTTACATGATCACTGAAATAAGAGTTTTCTTGAAAACAGCTTGTTGTTTATTATCCAGAACAGAGATATTGCATTCCTTTCTAAAAGAAAAATGATGGCTCTTCCTGTTAGAATTGGGGGCATTTAGGGTTTACATATAAATAGCTGTACTGGTTTAACTGTATTAGCCCAAGCCATCAAAGGAAGTTGGTTGACATAAAATATATTTTCATGAGAATATAACTACATTTTCATTGAGCACAAACCAATGATTTTGGTAGCTCCTTCACAGGCCTGGCTGAATATTCTTCCTTCAGGTCTCATTCATGCTCATTTCCATGCTGTTTCATTCAAACAGCCATTAACACCCAATTGCCTGATAAAGAAGATAACAATGGAGGGCAAACAAATTGAAACATAAATGTCTTTGTACCCAAGCAAATGAACAGGCAAGTATCTAGGTTAAGTTTTGCACATTATGCAACAGATATGGGTTTAATGTCATGTTGCAAGTCTGAGTAAAAATGGAGGCCAAAGCAATATAGTCCTAATAGCACTAGTTAATTTGCCTGTGGTTTGTGTGGAGTAGAAAGTCTTTATTAACCAACTGAAGAGAACATTTTAGATGTTGTGAACAAGAAGACAATAAGAAAATGAGTCTGAAATAGCATGCAACGCTGTATTTCAGGGAAATAAATGCTTGATACACAATATAAACTAATATACATAATTTTCGTTTGGGTATGTATGGCTTCAGGGTCTAATCCAAAGCCCATTTAAACCCTTGGAAAGAAAATAGAAAATACATTTCATCCTTGACAAAGTGTTGGTAGAGGCTTATGCATCGACTAAGTTCTTTTAAAGATCTATTTTGATGGTTTAAGCAATAGGTAGAAGCAATTTAGTCCATATATAGGCACTTTGCACAGAATAACTTTCTGCCATAACCTTAGGGAGTAAACTGAACTCCAACTCATACCTATTTTATACAAATTTTCATGTGTTTTGACTCCAGCAGAGCTCTTCCTAATAACAGTCAACTCTGGTAGCCCCAGCTATAATTAAAAGATACTTAAGAATTTCCTTTTGAAGGCTTTGATTTCAGTTAAACCTGCATGTATGTACACACACACAAAAAAAAGGAACAATAAGCCATGAAAGTCAGAATGTGCCAAAATAAAGGTTGCTCATGCAAACGTAATTTGTTCCTTTTATGTATATGCATTATAGCATAGTCTTTTCTCACATGATCATGTCGAATTTTTCCTGGGCTTACACGGTACAGAGGGTGGACAGTGCATGACTCAAGAGCAGCTCTTCACTTCCACATCATTCTCTACGTAACCTTAGGTCTACTCAAGCATACTACTTCTTTTCAGACATTTTGTTCAAAGCCTGCTTCAAAGGGAAAATAACTAATATCTTCAGAGGCTTTTCAGTGCCTTTTGTCACCACGTAAACTTCGTGTGCTTCAAAAAGATTCATGTGTATTTGCAATAGTCTTGGAATATTATCCTAATTTGATGGAGAGGAAACTTTGGAAAAGAGAGATTAAAGTCAAACATATTCATCCACTGTTTTTGGGGTGTTGGAGATACGTAGGCATTATTGCCTGTCACTTCGTATCTACCAGATACAGTTCTCCTTGTCTTCTCCAGGCATCCTGACTCCTGACGGGGATAATTTTGTACCTGTCTTTGAACAGGAGATGTTTGGTAGGATCCAGGATGCTTGTCCTGTATTCTTGGCTCAGTGGAGAAACATGTTACAATGGACAGGAATACCTTTTCCCCCAACCCTCTCCCCTCTCTTTTCTGACCTATTTAGTCTTTCCCTCACCCATTGCTCCTTTCTCTAGGGCTAATCTCTCAGCTGTCTTACCCGAGCAGCCTTTTCCCAAGTTTTGAATCAGCCTATTTTGCCCTAGCACTGAGCTCTTGCCTCAAGAACAATTTATTTGGAGTATTTTGCGTTTTTTTTAACAAGTAAAGAAGGGTAGAAACTTTTCAACCCAAGCAGCAGGGAACAAAATGCTAGGAAAATTAAAATTATCTTGATTAACAGTGAAAGGTACAATCCAAACAGCACAAACTACACTATTTTCTGGATAAATAAAATATGATGGCAATCAGAAAGAAAAACTGGAAGTTGTTTGATCAGCTTTTACACTGTGCAGTTCAAAGAGAGCACAAATATAATTGATAGGCCTGCTTGGAGACTGTCAGTCAATTTGTACAATTGCTGCAACACATTCCTAAACCTGAACTTAACACCAAAAGACTAGCTGAATCTTCATGAGGAGAAAACACTTCAGCAGGGCAATTAAATCAATTTACTCAAAAAAAAGAACAATAGCCTAGACTAGCGTCTGAACCCTCCTTCCCTGCTCTAAGCAGCTTGCTCATGAAAGGTATTTCCCCCAGGAATTAAATTTTGCTCCTCTCTCAGCTTGATAGAGCTACCGCTACTCCTTGAAATACATGATTGATTCTTTACATGGCTGTTAAGTGCCTTCACTTTCCTTGGACTGATGCCTGTGGGAGGAAGGGAGTATTTTGTTGCGGAGAGATGATTGCCTGTTTGATTCTAGCAGCTTACAGACAATAGCACTGAGGATTCACGGGTTTCTCCTGTTCTTGGGAACCTGGAAAGGTTTATATATATATATATATATATAAATTCAATCATTTTATGTATTCTGAATTGGGGCTCTGAAAATGGGACTGTCTCTGGGTCTGAAGTGGTTATTTCTCCAGACATGACCTTGTTGTTTGTGCTCAGAGCTAGCTTGGTAGAGGAACCCTCACTTTCCTCCTGCCTATACCCTGAACAGGCATCCACCATGCTGGGATAGGCTGCAGCTTCCTCTCTGAGTATATGGATTCTTCCTTTTGGCTGTTCATTTGCTTCCAAGCTTCTTTCTTTTCGTGCTCAGACTTTTGAGTTTGGCTTCTGCCGGGTTTCCAGCAGATTGTCCTTATCAGTGAGTTCCTGCAGTGATCTTTAAGATCACCAGCACAACTCTGAAGCACATGGCTGGCAAAGTTCACCTTATCTCCAATTAAGCCCATGGTTTTCTCCTTGGTCTCTCATCATAGCTGTCTGTGCTGCTGCTTGGGATAAGCGTTTACAAAGAAGTGCCAGCTGAACTGCCTGCAGTTACCAGTATTCCTCGGTGGTAGGATGGATATAGCAGGATCATGGCTCCATTCCTGTCCAACTTTCTTGATTTGAGGAGCTGAAGTTCAGAGCAGGTTAAATCAAGATCTCTCTAACTGGAGACTCAAGTATTATTATTATGGGGAGTAGGAGTACAGGGCATACATGCAGATGTGCACACACAGGCTCTTCCTCTAGTGAAATTCAGGAGAACCTTGTTCTTGAGGTCTACATAAAGCAGAAGATTTTATGTGGCCATTCTTAATGCTCCTTCATAGGTTTGGAGTAGATCTGAATTACAGCATGATCTGCACATGTATATTTACATTAGGAACTTGGCTTGCTGTAAGGGTGACAGAGCATGGGAACAGGCTGCCCAGAGAAGTTGTGGAGTCTCCTTCTCTGGAAATCTTCAAAACCTGCCTGGATTCGACCCTGTGCTCTACGTGTCCCTGCTTGAGCAGGGCAATTGGACTAGATGATTTCTAGAGGTTCCCTCCAACCTTAACCATGCTGTGACTCTGTGATTCTCCTAATGGCTAAGTGGAGAGCTTAGAAACATTAAGTCAAGTTCCAGCCACATGAGATAAATATATAATGAATGACCACTCAGAATTTTTATCTCCTATGCAACCTAAAACTTATGAAAAATTATTGCTGAACAGAATAATCATTAGTTCTCAGTGGCACCCTAAATCCAAATGACACATCTTGCACCTCCCACCATCTTTTCTTTTAGGCACTAGCTGCTAAAGGAATTGATTCAATGTCACTTAGCTCATTGGAAATGTCACCTTTAGCATCCAAAAATGCTAAAGAAAGAAGAAACAGGCGAAAGAAAACAAAGTCTTTGGGGGCAGAAGAATATGGGGAAGACCAAAGGAATCCCAAGACTGAATACGATGATGGTCAGAGGAGAATGGTAAGTCATGGTCTGAAATGTCACTATTTTTGCTGTGTATTTTGCTGGATAGACCAGCTGAATAGGCAATTAAAGATGAAACTTCCAGCTGCAAAGCAGAACCAGATATTTGACATTATGACTGCAGACATTCTGTGTTGGAAGGAAACACACTAGCACTTAATTTATAAAATTAATTAAAAATACCTATTAAACATTCTTATGAATTTGTTTTGTTTTGATTCTGTCTTATTATTATTTTCATTTAAAGATTACCCACAACCTGATTTTATTTTCTAATTTCACTCATCTGACTATACCTATCCTATCCCTATCAGGACTAAAATATTCTTAGAAGAAACATGCAAAGCTTAAAAAGGAAAAGGAGGATGAGAAAGGGGGAAGCTTGTCCTTGAGGGCATTTTTAATTATATACAAAGAAGATATTAACATTTTTCTATTCCTTAGCTAGTTGCCTTCAAGTCAAAACTTTGTGGCACTTGTTTCTACTTTGTATTTCAGGGAAAAAAAAATGGAGTGAGGCTGTTGTTAAATAGGCTTTAAATAAATGTTATTGACATGCATGAATATGAATCTGCACATTATGTATCAAATGATCATAAATAGCCTCAGATAATTTGTCTTTGCCTAACTGAGGGCAAAGTTTAAATCAGTTTATTTGTTTTTTTTTGAATAGCCATGTAATGGGCTAAGTCTTTTAATATTTTGTTGTCAGTGAATTTAGGGATATTTGGCAGCCATAAAAAGCTCATAAAAAACATGCAAGTGATGTAAGTAAATGTGACCAATTTAATAACTCCCCAGCTCACAAAATTTGCATAGAGTTGGATTTCTGTAAATGACATGTATTTCTACATGTTTTTTAATGGGTTTTTGTTGTTGTTTCGTTGGGTGACTGGGTTGCATTACTAATTATACCTTTGTTAAAGCTAGAATTGCTCTTTAGCTTCTCTCTGGATGAGTCTCAAGGCACCACATGCCAGAATGAACATGGATTGGAGCTGTGCATTGCAAGTTTGTTTCGTAGATTAATATTTCTTGTTTTCACTTTTCGCCCCTGGATGTCATATGCATGAGAGACATGGGAGACACATTTCAAAGCTTATAGTAAATCGTCTTTGTAAGGCTGTGTCTGGCATGGTTGGAGGGAGTGAGGCTGAGTCATCATTCAGATGCAATCTGAGCAGCTGTAAGTGTGTTGCCATCAGGAATCAGTCTCAATGACTGTGTCATGGAAACCCAGGCATGGATTTTTTGACCAGTTAAATTTGGTAGCAGTCCAAATGAGTTGTTTTTAGTTAGAATAGACCTGGATTTTGTACTTTTCCTTGTACCAGTGCCACAAAATAGTATCATTGCATAGTTTAGTGGTGTGAGATACAGTGCAAAATGAAATCACACTCATTTGTTTTGGCTGGTTTGTGGATACTGTGGAAATCTGACCTGTCTTCATATACATGCCTGGCTCATCAAAGAGTTCCGAAGAAGCTGAAAATTGTATACAGGCCATAAAATCAAAAGTATGTTCTGCCTAAATGCTCTTAGTCCATGAATTTCCTCCTCACAGCTTTGAGGGAAGGGGATAGACTTGAATTCCTTATGCATTTTCTGAACATCCTTTTCACTCTATCAGCTTATGTGTGTATTCAGTGCTTGGCTACATCTTGCTGATGCTCCACCAGAATTTCAGTCTCATTAGCTGACATCAGAGTGGATTTTCAAGGCTAATATTTACGTGTAAGGAAGTAAAGGAGACTGCTGTGTACTGAGGTTACATTCCCTTAAAGAGATATGTGCATTGGGCTAATCATTTTACAGATTAATGAATCATATCCCTCTTCTTGCTCTTCTTTTTATTTTTTTCTTTTCCTTTATCACCTTCTTCCGTCGTATTCTGCTTCTTCTTCCCTCTTCTCATTTTCCCAAGTTCATTTCCTGCCCTATTTCTTTATCTCTTGTTCTCCCACTTCAACCTTCCTTCCCTACCTGTTATGAAGATGTCTCATGAGTAAACTGGAGCTGGATCCTCTTCCCTGCTCCTGTCTTCTACTCCTTATGCTGCCTTCCCACATCCTTTGGCACTTATCAGATGGGGAGGGAGTAGAAGCAAAAGAAGTATCACTCTACAAGACCAATGCCACCTTGACCCCTCTTATTTCAGTGCATCTTTAGCTGTCATGTATAGACAAAAAAAACTTATGGCTAGGAATGATTATTCGACCTCTTAATTTTGCAAAGGTTGAATACATGTTAATAAGTCTTTCTCTCTGAAACACTGGGTTTAAAATGGAACTTACTGCTCTCCCCAGACCTTCCTTGCTCCTCAAAACGTTTTGCAAAATGTTGTTTCTCTTTCCCCTTTTTCCTTTCTGGGGGTTTCTAGACTCTCCTTGGCATTAGTTATGGTCCCAGTGCAAACTTGGTGAAGCGCAGAACCAGCCACGGAAGCATATTCAGTTTCCGACTCCGTGGCAAAGACACTGGCTCCGAAACAGATTTTGCCGATGATGAGATCAGCACTGCTGGGGAAAATGAAAGCCATCGAGGCGCTCTCTTAATTCCAAGATCTGGGAGGCGTCCAAGCGTGCAAAGTCAAGTGAGCCATAGTTCTCACCCTGCTACTCCCAACTGCATCCAGACGGGCAAAAGGAACAGCTCAGTGGATTGCAATGGTGTGGTTTCCCTGATAGGAGGAGGCATCGGGGCACTCAACCCAGACCCTACTTCTCCTGCAGGGTTACTGCTCCCCCCAGTTATTATGGAAAAACCTGGGACAGGCGACCTGGTGAGTACTTTATAACTTTTGTATGTGATTCACACTCTTGTTTCCTTCTAAATGTTATTGGAGTTTGTTGTAATTTATTTACATGGTAAACAATCTGCAATGGAAACTCAAACCCATCATCCTAGAGAACGTGGGAGGACAATGGGATAACTTCTACAATAGCTGGTGTCTAGTGCAGCATGAGACAAGTTCATGACTTCTGTGGAGACTTACTTTTCAGAGCTGTCTGGAGGCAAATCTCGGGTTTCGTAAGAATTTTCCTTTCTTGTAGGGATATTTTTTTAAGTTGCTTCCTTTTAGCATTTCAAAATATGACATTGTCCAGTGGCTAAAAAATATGTTGCTTTTAAAATGATTCAGTGCAATCTTTCAGTCTCAAGATTTCCTTTCTCTCATGGCTTTCTGCTTGTTTGCATCTCACCTTTGGTCTTCTGTCCAACTGCTTGAGGAGGGCACTTCTTACAACACAAATGTAGTTCCCAGAAGGGTTTAGTCTCCAGTGCAAATAAAGATCAGCACAGATGATCAGATGATCAACAGCCTTCAAGTCTTTTTCATATTTCCAAGGTCTTTGTCGCATAGCACCACCTTTGCAAAAATAAGAAGACTGCAAATAAAAGTATTACAACTGATACCATTAGGACCTCAATGTGAAGTCCCTTGGAAAAGCATGACCTGCCATTTTGGAAATAACTTCTGCACAAGCAGGGCAATATGGCCAATCATGCTTTTTTTTGCATCCTAGACCCACTCCAACTTGATACAGTGGGAATTGATCTCGGTAAAGGTAAATATCTGAAGCTCATCCCCCTCAACAGTCTTTAAAGCAATGGAGATCTAGTCACTTGTTTTTCATCTCAGAGATCTAAAATAGGTCAGATAAATCTGTCTGGCCCAGCGTGCCTATTTCTGCTCTTTACCTAAAAGAGAAGCCCAGGGTCATTAACTCAGCTACCGATATCTATATGGCATGTGAAAAAAGTTAGGTGAGATGCAACCCACTCAGACTGAACACGTGCCACTAATGGCTTAGATCAGGGCAGAGGAGAAAAGAAAATGAGATTCTAATGTATATTAGGCAAGATATTTCCTGAAGAGATAGGCAAGTGAGATGGAACCTAGCCGCAGTGTCAGATTATCAGTAAACTGAGAAGTAGCTTTTTCTCTAAAGCCAGACAGCTTCTTGCCTTTCAAGGTTTGGATTGAATTTTTTTCCTCACCTGTCTGGGCATTCCCTCAAGTCCTGTTTAGCAAACACAGTCGCAGGGTGTAAATTCAAGGAGAGAGAGTTCTTTGTGTGAGAATCTACGTGAGTAAGAGAATTCTCTGTTTTGTTGACAGTTTTGAGGCTGATATTCACACCTTTGTTTATTTAGCGCCTTGGTACACCAATTTTTACTCTCTTCAGATGAGGAAGGCCAGCCTTGAGAGTGGTCTCTAGACAGCTGAGTAACAGAAAAACTCTTTGTAGACAGTAGACTCTTCCTGGACTTACCTTGTCATGAAACAAGCTTCAGGTTAGAGCAATTATCGAAGAAAGAGTTGCTGTGTTTCTTAGAGAATAAAAATCTGAACTAAATGAGAAAGTCTTTGGTAGATGAGCAGTGGACATCCCCCTTTTTGCTGTAAGAAAACCAATTCTACAGCCTACTGAGTCTCTCCCAGCTGTCAGAAAGCTCAGCAAAACATGAGGACACTCAGCCCTTCACAGAAAATATCTCTTTTTTTTCTTTTCTTCTTGTAGGATTAGGCCCTAAGGTGACAGGGAGGCTTTGAGCTCTGCAGGCATTTCTTTTTATTTGCCAGCGTCCTGCCTTTTAAAAAATGGATGTCAAAAATTAAATGGCCTGGGTGGGTGAGCTCACTTGGCAGTTCTCTGGTCGTCTAGGAAATAACACTGAGACACTATAGTAACAGATGCTCATTCAGTGATGCAATGTGAAGGATGTTGTGTCTTCTGCAAAACAGGTTTGGTATCTAATCTATCCAGAAAACGTGAGCTGGAGTTAAAAGCTAATTGGCAAGGTGCCCATTGTCGTACAGACACATTAAGGAACTGTAAGCACTGGGCACGAACATACAGTCTCAGCTGTGGTCAGATGTAAAAGGAACTCATAAATCCAACACCTCAGCATGTCTAGAGATAAATCAACACACCCCAGGGCTTACTGCTTGATTATTTTTTCTGTTTTCTTGCAAAACTTCTTAAAACAGCTTTGTTAGCCATTCTGGTTTCTCTTTATGTTCTACTGATAGGTTTGGAAGATGGCAAAAATATGTGGCCAGGTGAAGTTTAAGTTATTAATTCCCCTGACCCTGCTACTGTTATTTGTTTTATATGATTGTAATCCCATGATGAAAAAGGACTCTATTGCACTAACTATTGTATTGTCTGGAAAAGGGGAAGAAGGGGAAGGGGAAGGGGAAGGGGAAGGAGGAAAAGGGAAGAGAGGGAGGGAGGGAGGAAGGGAGGGAGGGAGGGAGGGAAAGGAGGGAAAGGAGGGAGGGAGGGAAGGAGGGAGGGAAGGAGGGAAGGAAGGAAGGAAGGAGGGAAGGAAGG